GGTAACCGTGAGGAGTCGGGGGAGCACCGCGGAGCGGGGACACCGGCTTTCTTCTTTCCCTGTTTTTTCCTTACTTTTTTTCCTGACCTAAGCCGCTTTCCTTAAACTATTAAACATTGTGCAACATTTGTACAGCTTAATTACAACTTTTTTTAAAAAAAGCAACAAGCCGAACGCAACCTCTTTGCAGCAATAAAACATGACGAGGCTTGAAAGATGGTTCAATACTTTCTGCTTAATAGCTTGTTAGGCATGAGGCTAGAGGCCCAGAGCTCGTGACTACGCAGCAAGGTGTGAATTATTGCACCATAATTCTCGCCCTGGAGTGTTTTATTGCAATTAATAACTGTTTTCATGTTTTAAATACATTTTCTCACACCATAAAAAGCAGAAATGGAAAGTACTTGCTAATGGGAAGAATACTGGGAGGATTGGGCACGGATCACCAACTGCAGCAACTTCCTTGGTTTCTTGCTATTTTGATCTGCACTTAAACGATTTTGGAATCCTCTTTGGCTTTAAAACTGTGTGGATCCAAAGTCCTGTTATTTGCCTTTGTTGAAGTAGCTCTCCCTGCAAATCTCTTCACAGATATTCTGGGTTGGGAGGCAACTCCCATGTATTTGCAGCATATTTTCTCCATATCAACTGCAGCCACACAAAGCCACACATTCACTTCCACACACCAAGCTACTAACTTCTGAGATGCACACCTCGTTATTTTCAAAGCAGAAAAGAGATGGATTCGGAAAGCGTTTGCTGACTTTTTGTGTAGCCTGGTCCTGTGGCAAATTTGAACCTGTTCCAGTTTAATTTCGGTTAACCTGAAAGCTGAGGAAAAGCAGATACCACAAAAATAAAATGCTATTTGAGGCCCCTGATCCAGATCCTACTGAAGCTGCTGGAAATGCATACCTTGCCTTCACTGGGAGCTGCGTCTGCCTCTTGATACTGAAATGGTGCCATAAAAATGCTATTACAATGATACTTTCCTCCACTTGTTACTGAAAAACAGCAAAGGTGATTCCTGGGGTTAGTTAGCACAACCTGCTTTAATATGTGTATATAATATAATGCTCTCTATTAACATCACTAAATAGATTGCAATTGGTTAACCAGTCTGATGTCAAAAAGCCAGTCTTTAAGAGCAAATACAGGGATTGGAAATGCAGGTACAGAGATGGAAAATTGATTGGTACTTTGAACTTTCACTTAAGAAAGACTTAATGGGATGAGGAGATTAATAATGGGGGTCTCTCGGGCTGTCTGTCACTGTTTTGAGTACCCCAGAGGTCAGTAATAACAGCAAATGGATAAGGCAGGTCAGATACCTCGGTAGCCTTTTTCTAGATGTTGCTAGGCATGTACTTGGCCCATTATGCAGTTTCTAGTCAGGACACAGCACAAAGCTAATTCTAGTATCACTAACAGAAATAAACCATATTTCAGTTTAGTCTTGTCAGTGTTTAGTAAACCCATGACAAGGCATTGCTGCCTCTTCTGCTGCTGCAGTGGCTGCTGCAGCTTTTTCTGCATCTTCTTGCTGTTTGTTGTTCATGTGTTTATTGCACTTGGGTCTGTTTGGACCAGGATCCCACGTGTGCTGAGCAAGGTACAGGACAAAACCATGTCTCTTGTCCTGAAGATCCAGCAATGTAAGAAGCAGGAGAAAAGCAGCAGAAAGAGCTGTCCTGCCATGCAACGACAGTTTGTAACAGGAGAAAATAGACAGTACCTTCTCTTCTTTCAGCCTGAAAATAAAGGATGATGGCAGCACCCCTTTCATACATACCCAGACCACTCTGGACACACTTTTCCCATCATCTCTGCAGTGCTAGGACCTAAGCACAGAGCACCTGAAAGCAGGGGATAAAACATTTCCAGCCAAAGGGGTTCGGTGGCTTCTTTGGTGACCCTGTTAAACAGAAACCTTGCAAGGGATGTAACAGAGGGGAAGCTCTGTCACCCACAGCATCAGCCTTGGCGGAGAACAAGGGGGCTTCCATCCCTGGGCTGGGGTCCCTTCAGCACAAGCGGGGATCAGGATTCCCAGTATCAGGATTCTAGTACTTGGCTGCACTGCTGAACTGAAATCAATGGGATTTTGTGCTGAAATAAGGGAGTAATTATTTAATTAACCCCATTTCAGAATTGAAACACACTGTCATGCCATTACGACGTTTACTCTGTCGATGCTTTGTGGTATTTATCCTAATGCTAACCCTGGAGACTGAATTCCCTCATCTGTCTCCCTGTCATCTTTAATAAACACTGACCATACATTAACAATGAGATGATGTTGTAAGTCAGAATAAGACAGGCTTTGTGCCTGTGTCTTTTTGTTTGTTTCTACTGAAGTCCATTTAATGCAATTGGATGTTGCTTTTAAAACAGCATGAGTCAACTGAATTTATTTTTAAGGAAGTGTGCTTGAAAAAAATTAAATATTAATGATATCTGAATTTGAATATGTTACTCAGCAGAAAACTCTTTACAAGGCTTTATTTTATTCTGCAAGTTACTTCACTAGTTATTTTTTTTAAAGCTTGGAGTTTTATATAAATCCCCTTCTAAACAGACGAAACAAACAAAATGTAATACTCATCTCCATAAAGCACAACAAAATAATAATTTCCAGATGGGCTTTCTGATGGAAGATCAAAGTCCTTCATCTCAGACTTGGGAGATTTCCCTTCCATGCTGATATCAGTTTTATCTGCATGCGGTTCATCCAACATTTGCTTTTTTTCAGAAAAGCAATTAGCTAGATGAAGCTGCAGGAGAATGCTCTTAGAGCTGAAGAGAATAGAAAAGATTTACTATAAATAGTAAAAGATTTCTGGCTAGGTAGGGGGGAGGAATCTTTCTCACTTTGATTTCTACAAAAATTAGTCGTTTGTATACACTGAGAAATGACAGCTTCATATGCAAAGATGAAATAAGCAGAAAAGAGTTGTTTCTGCATTTTTGCAACCGGTTTGAACAAACTCCTTGCTGTGCATCTCTGATTTCAAGAGTCAGCCAAACTAGGCGTGTGGCTCGAAAATAATAGGTTAGTGTTTTTCTGTGAATGTTTTGCGCATCTGTGCATTTTGAGATTCTGCTTCCAAGAAGCAGCAGTTTCTACAGAAAGCCTGTACTCACGGGTTGTCTGCATTTTCAGCTTAGCAGAGCCGTAGAGGTTGTTTAAGGCTTTCTGTTTCTGCAGTTCAGCCACTGCTAGTTAGATGTACCCATCACTCTGAACTGTATTTCTGTGTTTTAGCATATACAAAATAGATGTACAAAATACCTGGTCGTTTCGTTAACCCTGGCAATTTCAAAAGATTGAGGAAGTCCGATTCCCCAGTCCCAATTATCCACTTAGGAGCCTGTCTTCTGGAGGACACTAGTTTCACGCTCCATCTCTGTCTGTCTCTCTCACACACATTTTCATTTTGTTTTTCTTTCTCTACTTGTACGTCTGCACAGAAGCCCTCACAGTTCTGTCTTGTTGTCTCCTTGGTGCCATGCACCACATGGCCTTTTTGGCTAAAAGTTCTGTGAACACACAGCCCAAAATACTAATGCATTTCAGCAATGAATAGTCTTTCACCTTGGAAAGCTTAATCTGCTTTTCCCTGACCCTTTTTCCCTGCCCACCATCAATGCGAAATACCAAAAAGCTTCACAAGAAAAAAACCAACCATCAAAACTCACAGATGAACAAATAGTATTTTAGAAAGCAATTCATCTGAAGGTCTTTGTCTTGACAAAGGGGATTATGGAACTGAAATGTAATTATCTTGGCATTTAAGTTTCTATTTCCACCATGTGGTTTGGTTCACGTATTTGATTGCAAAGTTTTGTCATTCAAAACAGCCTATAGGTCTCTTTTTCATTACAGACACAAGGCAAGTACAGCCGTCTCCACCATGGTCCTATGACCAGTCCTACCAGTACCTGGGCTCCATTGCCACCCCCTCCGTGCACCCCGCCACGCCAATATCTCCTGGCAGGGCTAGCGGCATGACATCCCTCACCGCAGAGCTTTCCAGCCGGCTGTCAAGTAAGTACCTAAAAGTTAGTCCCCCTGCACTGGGCCTCACCAAGACCTTGAGGCTGACTCCAGTGCAAACCAGTTGCAATGTCCTGGGATGCTGCCACAGCTTTCCCCCAGTTGCAGTGAAGCCTATTGCACACCCCTGCGGCAAGGCTTCTCCAACACTTGCTAGGATTTGTGCAAAGATTGAAAGATATGGTTTAGGTTGCAACATACCATTGCCAAAAGGGAAAAGAAAGAGGAGAAAGCAGCACTTTGAAAATGTATGGAGCTATAAAGATAGTTTGGAGTGCTGAAGAGCTATCGTATCTACTGAGAAATGAATGCCACAGGTAATTCTGTTCTGTTCTTTTCCCTCACCCTAAGTTGAGACCAGAGCACAGCAGGTCATGGGTGGACACTGACTGCAGGATGGTGGGGTTTGATGTTTTAAGTAAGTGTTGCACTGGATTGTCATGTCATATTTTCATCAAATTGTACTGCAGAGCTTTACAAGCTAACAAGAAAATACATCATGGAAGTGAAAGCTAACCCCCCCCCCCAGTTTCAACTGACCATCTGCTC